GAGAATTGTCAACAATGACTCTTCCAGCTCCATTTGATCTAGTTCATTGTCTTGTTTGTTTTCCTGAATTTTGACTCTTTTTTTTTTTTCATGTGTGTTTGTTAAGGTTATAATGCTAGTGATTCAGATTCTGATGATGCAAAGGAAGCTGCCAAATAGGATGAGATGTGCTTTATATTGGAAACATAAGCAATGAGAAAGTAAGCTTAAGTCTCATTTATTCCGTCTCGTTGTCGTGGTGTGTTTGCTTAGTCATCAACATTGAAATTCTTTGTTGACGAAGATGTTTGATACTCTTATTTTATAAGTTCTCATAATTCTCTCTATTTTAACTTCATGGTTGTCATTTTCAGTGTAAATTAAATGGAATGAATATAAGCTATTGATCTTATTGATGCAGCAATATTGAGCTTGGGTTGCATTTTGGAGTGATGGATCTGGTTTTGTTTTGTTTACTCGTTGAAAGGGATTTAAAATTTAAAATCCACCCAAATAACTTATAATTGGTTCAAGGTTGAAACTTAAGGGACATCGAAGGCCATGGTATTCAAACAAACTCAATTGTTTTTATCGGTGGATTTGTAATCTTTTCATTCATTTCCTCTCGCCCGAATGGAGCCTAAAGAAGCTTTCACATTTCTGCACTAATCATTAGGTTGTTTCCTTGAATAACTTTATTCTAGATCTCAGACATTGAATGATAATTTCCCTTGTCTTCAATATTATTTATTATCAGATTTCATATCATATTATCATTTATTTTGCCTGTGGAGGCATAATAGATATTGCCCGTTCAGGCTTGTATGACTTCCTTTGATAATTTTGGCTAGCAATTATCATGTAAACTAGTAAACCTATTATCTCCTATAGTGGATGTGGCAATAGCTAGTGTGTTAGGAGTTTAGGTGTTAACAAAGACCCTTGTGAAGAAGCATAATCTGAGGTACCGTTGTATTACATTTTTTTTAAAAAAAGCTTCAAAGATGAACTTTGCATAAAATGCCAGCATACGGAGCTATTAATATTTGTACCAGTACTAACTATTTAATGCATGTATCGGGAAAGAAAGATAATGCTAAGTGATTTTCTATGAGACTAAGTAGATCTCTTTCGACAACACCCTATTAAGGCTCGTATTTGATTATTAAAACCTTAATTTATGTTGTTTCATGTGAATTTATATACCTCTGCAATCTGATTACCTTTACTGATCAATTGCCTAAGATTACTGAATATGTTGAAATCTCAATCCACTAAGATTTTATTTCAAAGGGAACTGGCTCGTCTGACTGGAACATCTCCTGATTGGCTGGCTCTCCTATAAATTTTGTCGGTTTTCAATGAGCTAAGATACTTTCTTCTTCTTTTTTTTTTTCGTTTTTATTTTGTTTGACAGTGAATTCGTGGTGCTGGCCTGGCTCGTGTGGTGTCGTGCTTATGCAAAACAGTCAAACGCAGGTTTCGGTCAAAGCCTTCAAACAGCAATTTTCCCTTCAGCTGGCATTTTCT